GTTCCTCCATGTACATTATTGGGGACAACAAATCTTTAATTGCTACAGTGATTTCCACTGATCTCTTTAGGTCTATACCCCTTTCTTATGTATATAGAATATATTTACTACTTAGAATTTTGTTTTTGCAAGAGCTATCATTCTTTACTCTGAGAATATAAATAAATTGATATTGTTTGATAAAGAATACATACATTCGCACAGACCAAAATCTCACACCCTATACCAAAACAAAGTCAAAATGGGTTCGTGATTTAGATATAAAGGCTGATACTGTAAGCAAACTAGGAGAGCAAGGAATAGTTTACCTGTCAGATTTATGGAGAACAAAAGAATTTATGACTAAACAAGAGATAGAGAACACTATGAAATGCAAAATGGATAATTCTGATTACATTAAATTGAAAAGTTTTTGCACAAAGCCAATGCAACCAAGATTAGGAGGGAAGCAGAAAACTGGGAAAGAATTTTTACAAGTGTCTCTGATAAGGGCCTCATTTCTAAAATATATAGAGAACTAAGTCAAATTTATAAGAATACAAGTCATTCTCCAATTTATAAATGGTATAAGGACATGAACAGACAGTTTTCAAATGAAGAAATTAAAGCCATCTATAGTCATATGAAAAAAATGGTCTAAATCACTATTGATTAGAGAAATGCAAATCAAAACAACTCTGAGGTACCACATCACACCTATCAGATTGGTCAACATGACAAAACAGGAAAATGATAAATGTTGGAGAAGGTGTGGGAAAATTGGAACACTAAGGCATTATTGGTGGAGTTGTGAATTGATCCGACCATTTTATAGAACAATTTGGAACTATGCCCAAAGTGTTATAAAAATGTGCATACCCTTTGACCCAGCAATAGCACTTCTAGGTCTATATCCCAAAGAGATCATACAAATGGGAAAAGGACCCACACGTACAAAAATATTTATAGCAGCTCTTTTTGTGGTGGCAAACAATTGGAAATTGAGGGGATGCCTATCAATTGGGGAATGGCTGAACAAGTTGTGGTATATGAATGTAATGGAATATTATTGTGCCATAAGAAATGATGATCAGGCAGACTTCAGAAAAACCTAGAAAGACTTGTATGGACTGATGCTGAGTGAAGTGAGCAGAACCAGGAGAACATTGTATACAGTAACAGCCACGTTATGAAATGACTAACTTTGATAGACTTAGCTCTTCTCAGCAATGCAAAGATTTAAGACATCTCCAAAAGTCTCATGGTGGAAAATGCTATCCACATCCAGAGAAAGAACTATGGAGTTTGAATGCACATTGAAGCATACTATTTGCTCCTTTTTTTCTTCTGTTTTGTTTCCTCTTTCTTGTGGTTCCTCCTATTGGTTCTAATTCTTACTTACAACATCACTACTGTGAAAATATGTTTAATAGGAATGTATATGTATAGCCTGTATCAGACTGCATACCATCTTGGGGAGGGAGGCGGGGAAGGAGGGGGAGAAAAATTTAAAACTCAAAAGTTTATGGAGGTGATTGTTGATAACTCAAAATAAATTAATAAAAAAACCAAAGAATATACACATTCATATAAAATTTTTATATAGCTGTATTAATAAATGCCTTTTATTATCTTATTAATATCTTTATGTATTAGAAGTTTATTCCTCCTACTCTATGGAATCTGAATTAGCATTTCACATGTAGAATCTGAAGGGAAAAAATAAAAACCATAAACATTTCTACTAGGCTTTTTATTCTTCACTTGAGAGAGCAACCCAAAGGCCATATTTCTGGTACTTGCTAGGTAGTTGGCACATATCTCATTAAGTGCTATCTGCCTTCTAAGATATATATGGAATTGATCCAAATTTATAAGAATAAAAACCATTCCCCATGGTCAAAGGATATGAATAGGCAGTTCTTAGAGAAAAAAATCTATTGATAACCATAGGAAAAACTGTTCTAAAACACTAATAATTAGAAAAATATAAATTAAAATAACTCTGAGGTACCACCTTACACCATAAGATTGGCAAAGCTGACAAGAAAAAGAAACACATTCTGGAGGGGCTATAGGAAAACAGGTAAATTAATGCAATGTTGGTAAGAACTCTGAACTGGTCTAGTCATTCCAAAAAGCAATTTAGAACAATACCCAAAGCTATTAAAGTGTATATATCCTCTGACCCAATGATAGCCATTATAGGTCTATAACCCAGAGAGGTCAAAGAAAAGGGAAAAGGACCCACTCATACAAAATACAAGTAGAGCTTCATGGTAGCAAAGAATTGGAAAGTGAGGAGTTGTCACTACTCACTGGCTGAGCAAGTTATAGTATATGTATATGAAGTACTGCTATTGTACTATAAGAAATGTTGAAGGGGATAGTTTTAGAAAAACCTAGGAAGATTTGTATGAACTGATACAAAATGAAATGAGCTGAAACCAGGAGAACAATTTATACAACATACTATAAAGACAAACGACTTTGAAAGCCTTAGGAATTCTTATCAACACAATGCAACCAACCACAGTTCCAGAAAACTCATAATGAAATATGCTATCCATCTCCAGACAGAGAGGTGATGGCCTCAGAGTGCAAACTGAAGCTATTTTTTTTTTAATGTGGCTAAAGTTGGAATTTGTTTTGCTTGACTATACACGTTTGAAATAGGGGTTTTTTTTCCCTTGCTTTCTCAGTGGGTGGGGGAGGAGTAGGCAGAATGGAATGAATTCAGAAAATAAAGTAAAATTGAGTTTTTAAAAAGTATTCTTTATACCCCTTATTTTTTCCTTCCACCCCTTAAACTAGCCAAAGTCTCCTCCTCTTTTCCATAATAACCTCATAAACTGTTCATCTTGGCACCATCGTGTGCCAACTTTGAGTAAATCAGGGAAACTTCTACTTTCACATTCTCATCCTCATCAACCAATTATGTTGCTCAAAGATCCCAAAACAAAGATCTGGAAACAGAAGTAGCAGATAACACCCATGTTCCTCAGCATCATACGGAAATGCCCAAAAGGAGGAGTACTTTACCATACATCAGGAACTGGACCCTTCCTATATAAAATGAATGCTGGGAAACCATTCCATTCTCATCTCTAGCCCTCCTCAGACCTCAGGTGGCTATACAGAATATCCTTTAATAAATATCCATTGGACCTCTAAGTCTTGTGTGTGGGTTTCCTTTTCCTGATTAAGGTGAAGACTCAGGGTCCCATATAACCATTCATATGGAAAGGCATTTACCACCAAATGAAAGAATTAGAATTGGTAGAAGAAACTAATTAACTCTCCTATTCATTTTTAGATTCCTTAAACTTGAAGAGCCCTTATTCAATTGCTTTTGATGAGTGGCTTTAATTTAGTGGAGGATCTATGGAAAAACATGGATAAGAATCACATAAGATGAGAAGAAATGGTTAAGTTATAATTTGTACCAATTAAGAGAAACTCATCATCTTGTAAGACAGTGTCAGTCTTGGTACTCATACCTCATCAGTACCTTCTGACTTTCTGTTTGGAGGGTGGAACAAAGACCTTTCAAAAACCTTCATTTTAGGAGGGTACCAAGGTCAGCCATCTCTTCATTTCCCACCTGATTGCACTCCTCTGCACTTTTCTAATGCTGGTTACAGGGACCTTTCCATCCCCCCCACCTCCTTACTTTTCAGCTTCCTTTTGTGTGTTTCTTTCCCCATTAGATTATAAGCTCCTTGAGAACAGGAACTGCCTTTTTGTCTTTTGGATCTGTATCCTCAGCACTTAGAACAGTATCTGGCACATGGCAGGAGCTTAATAAATGATTAGTGACTCACTATTGATGAGATCATCAATTCATTGACATAAGGAGTCACAAATTATACACCATGTATATTAGTCACTTTCACACCTTTAAGGTTTAAGAGGCCTATACTCTCACAGTATAGGAGATATGTTGGGGGTAATAAGCATCATCATCTGCAAATTATGTATCCCAGGGTATCCCTGAGGCACTGGATAGCTTAAGTTTTGTGAAGGGGAGAAGGCACAAAAGGGAATAAGTTTCTTCTGACCCATAGTAGATTGATTGAGTAGAGGCGCAAGAGATGACCAATGGTACCAGAACTACTAGTGTTTACTGAAAAGGCAAGACCCCTCAATCTGTAGGAAACTATATGTCCCACTCCCTCCTACAACTCCTGACCAGTAAGTGATTTTTTCTGGGAATCTCTTACAGGAAAAATAACTGCAAACCCCTAGGTTACCATAGGCTTTTGGCCTTGAGAGGAGTATATATTTATTAGTATTAGGGTAAGTCCCTTACCTAAATCATTTCCATTTCGGTAAGAGGAATAATTACTATGCTCAAAGCCTAGGACTTGTTAAGGGAGCTCATTTCTTTAAGGAACCAGATGCTCAGCAGGAGGTAGGAACTGCTAAGAACCATTTGCTCTCATTTTCCATACTCGTATATGTTAATTGTATGTTAATACCAAAAGACAGTGTGGCATAATGATAGAGTTGATCTTGAAGCCAGGAAAACCTCTGACCCATCTGCGCTGCATGAACTTGGGCAAGTCACTGAACCTTTCACTGCTCTGGGAAGCTACCTAAGACTTTCAGTTGCAGAGAAGGGGCCAGCCTGCAGTAGTAGTAGGAGCTCACTCAGGAGTTCCCTAAACCAAAGAAATAACAGGTCCAGTTCCTAACCCTATGTTAAGACTATGTTTTACTGAAAATTGTAGGAAAGAAATATATTACTTTCTAACTGTACCTTTCTTTACATAAAAGAAGCTAGATAATAAGAAAACATGTATCCCTTAATGTAGGATTTAAGTGCCAGATCAAATTTAAATAAACAAATGAATGAATGAAATAAATGAGTGAATGAATAAATAAATAAGTAACAAAAACAAAAAACTTAAAGGTTGAAACAAAGTAGTTGAGGTTGGGCAAAAAATTTAACAATACTTAAATGCTAAACCAGAAAGAACATTTCTTCCCCTCCATAGTCTTCTTGATTCAAGACTTACATTTTTTCCAGTTTTTAGGACCAATTTTTCAGCATTTATATGGTCTAAAAAATTAGGATGAGGTTTTCTCCTACGATAATCCTCTTCACTAAAGAGAATTTCAAGATCATCCTGTGAAACAAAAATTTTATATATTAGAACCACTTACATTTTCTATGCCAAATATTTACAGCTATATTTAGTACTTTACAGTTTTTAAACTGCTTTTCTTAAAACAACCCTGGAAGGTATTATTATTCCCATTTTAAATGACTTACCTAAAGTCATACAGCTATTAAAGTAACAAATCTGTGATTTAAACCTACTTTTTGAATGATTCTAAGTCCAAAGTTTGTTTCCTTAAATACAACTATTCTAACCTAATTAGTTAATATAGGACCCTATCAAGATCACACAAAGTTTTAAAATCTATTGTTTGCTTTAAAATTATCATATTTTTAAAAAAAGATCTAGTCATGTATTTATATTTTATATAAAATTTACATTTTTATAAATGCATTTTATTATATGCAATATATAATGAAATAATTTATATTAAAACAAAATATTTTGTTTCATGTTTATATAAAATTTCATATTTTATATTTCATGTTTATATTTTAATAAAATTCTAAAATGGCAAAACTATGCCCTTTTCTTCTCAATACAAATTTGTAAGGCCAGAGTTAGAAAGATATGCTAACTTTCCCTACCATGTCTCTTCTAGTTATGGTACCCGGCAATGAACTGAACTTAAAGACTTCATAATAAAAGCATTTAATACAGCTAATTTATTGGGAGGAGAAACTAGAGAGAGAAGGTGAGTGTATGTTCCAAGCCCCACTCCTTTCTTTAGTCCTTGATTTATCTATTACTTGGCCCCAAATTCAGGAGCTAGGAACCTGCCAGTCAAATAGCTGTACGTGAGGACTTAGAGGGACACATGTGACCTGGAGGCCACAGGTTCCCCATCCCTGCAGTTGGCACTTAACCCCTGGCTAATATGTAAATCTCTAAATTGGGAGGTAAAATTCCTTCTCTACCATTATCTCCCCTGAATACTAATCTTATCTCTATTTATTATTTGATCAGGCAGTCCCTGATAGTATGACTTCAAGATTCAACTCTTTTGGAAATGTGGGATTTTCAAATAATCAGCAAAGGTTAGTCCTTAAAATTAGTGGTGTAATGCAAAGAGCACTGGATCTGGAGTCACAAGAGCTAGGTTTGAATTCTAGCTCTGCCACTGACTTGAAATCTTGAAAAAAGTCACTTCATTTACCCAGGACTCAGTTTCCTCATCTATAAAACGGGAGGACTGATGATCTTTAAGATCCTTCTACCCTAAATCTATAACCCTATGAACAGATAGTTCTGAAACAATCAAAGTATACTACTTTATTACCTTATTGTCTTTGACATACTTCCCATCAATCAAAATAAACTTTCATAAGCATCTACTCTGTGCCAGGCACTGTGGCACTGGCAATAAAAAAAGAGGCAAAAGATAGTTCCTGCCCTCAAGAAGACTAAAATCTTATGTGGGAAACAACATGCAAACAAATACATACAAATCAAACTATATTCAGGATAAATAGGAAATAATTAAGAGAGGGAAGGCACTAGAATTAAGAAGGTTGGAAAAGACTTCCTGTAAAAGGTAAGATTTTGTTGGGGCTTAAAGGAAGCCAGGGAAGTCAGTAGGCAGAGATGAAGAGAGGAGAGTGTTCCAGGCATGGAGGACAGCCAGAGAAAATGCCTGGAGGCAAGAGATGGGATGTTTAGCAAAGTGTTAGCATAGTGTTAGTTAGATGGAATGTCAGCAAAGAGGCCAGTGTCACTGGATCATGAGTATCCAGTTGACAGCAAGGAGGTGAATCACTGTAGTGGAGAATAAGATATAAGAAGACTGGAAAAAGTAGGAGGGAACTAGGTTATGAAGGCCTTTGAATATCAGCAAAGAATTTTGTATTTGATCCTAGAGACAACTGGGAGCCACTAGAATTTATTGAGGGGTGAGTGGGTGGTTGACATGGTTAGACCTGTGCTTTACGTTTAACTTTGTGGCTGAATGGAGGATGGACTGGAGTGGGGAGAGACCTGAGGCAGGCAAACCCACTAGCAAGTCCAGGTGTGAGGTTCTGCACCTAGAGTGGTAACAGCATTAGAGGAGAGAAGGAAGCATATTTGAGAGATGTTACAAAGATGAAATCCACAGGCCTTGGCAACATATTGAATATAGGAGGTGAGAGACAATGAGGAGTTGAGGATAACATCTAGGTTACCAGCCTGAGAGACTGGGAGGATGGTGCTACCCTCTACAGTAATAGTGGAGGTGAGGGAGGGTTTAAAGAGAAAGATAAAGAGTTCAGTTTTGGATATGTTGTGGGCATTGAGTTTGAGATGTCTGAAAGGCATCATGGGATATAAGATTGGAGGTCAGCACAGAGGTTGGGGCAGGATAGGTAAATCTGAGAATCATTAGCATAGAGATGGTAATTAAATCCATGGGAGCTGATGAGATCATCAAGTGAAGAAGTATAGAGGGATAAGAAGAACCAGAAGGTTAGAAAGTAAGATCTGGATGAGAATCCAGCAGAGTAAGAAGAAGTAGTCAGATAAATAGAAGGAGAACCAGGAGAGTGATGTCCTGAAAACCTAGAGAGAAGAGGGTATCAAGGAGGAGGTGAGCAAGAGTCAACAGCTAGAGACAGGTCAAGGAGAATAAGGATTGAGAAAAGGCCATTGGATTTGGCAATGAAGAGATCATTAGCAACTTTGGAGAGAGCAGTTTTAGTAAAATGGTCAGAAGCTGGATTGTAAAGGATTAAGAAGAGAGTGAGAGGACAGGAAGTGGAGTCACCTAGTGTAGATGGACTCTTCAAAGAGTTCAGCCACAAAGGACAGAAGAAATATAGGATGATAGTGGGGAGGGAAGGCTCAAGTGAGAGTTTTTTGAGGATGGGGGTGATATGGACACATCTATAAGCAGTAGTGAAGGAGCTAGTAGAAAGAAAGTGACTGAAAAAAAGAGACAGAGTGGGGATGGTGGAGGAGGCAATCTGTTGGAGGAGACAGGATGCGATAGGAATTGCTTAAGCAGGTAGAGGGGTTAGCCCACCTCATCATGTGGAACAGGGGTGAAGGAGGCAAAAGGGACAGAAGGCACCTGAGTGATAGGAGATAAGGAAGAAGGGAGAAGAGGGAACTCACAGCAAATGGCTTCCATTTTTTCTGGAAATGATGAGGGAAGGATTTACTAAGAGAGCAGGAGGAGGGACAGCCATCAGAGGTTTGAGGGATGAAAAGGTTTGGAAGAGCTACTGTAGAGGGTGGGACAATGAACTGAAGAGGGAAGTCTAGTAGGATTGTCTAGCATCAATGAAGGCCCAGTTGCGGTTATGTAAAATAAATCTGTAGTGGACCTGGTTAGAACAGTTGCATGATTTTCTCTACCTTTTTTGAGCAGTAGGAGCAAAAGTGGTAGATGGTGGGAATGACTGAAGGCTGAGAATATGGTCGGATAAAGGGATTTCAGAATTCTTGAACACATGTAGTACACTGTGGATTATGGCAATATCAAGGGTATGACCATTTTTGTGTATAGCTGAGGTGGCATGGAGGACTACGTCATAGGAAGTGAGTAGGTTGAGAAACTGAATGGTTAAGGAGTTTGAGGGAAAGTCAATATGTATGTTGAAGTCTCCCAGCATCTGGGCAGGAATTGAAGAGGAGAGAAACTTTATGAGCCATGTACTAAACTCATTGTGGAAAGGAGAGGAGTGACATGGAGGTATGTAGACAACAGCTACGAGGATTTTGATTGAGTGGTAGAGATGAATAGCATGAACCTCAAAGGAAGAGAGAACCTGGAAGTGGCATTGAGGAGCAAGAAGCATTAGAACTACCCCTCCTTGACCACTAAGCTGAAGAGGAGTGAAGGTACAGTTAGTACTGGAAAGGACAGAGAGGGAGCTGTGTCATCTGGGAGGAGCCAAATTTCAGGAATAACTAATAGATGGAAGTAGTGGGAGAGGACAAGATTTAGGATAAAGGGAAGTTTGTTGCTTATGGAACAGGCATTCTAGAGGGCACAGTGGAAGGGCACAGTGGAAAGACTTCATTCCAACTCAAAGAGTTGAGAACCTATTCTTAGCAGGTCTTCAGTTAATTCTAATAGGTACATTCATGATTCTATAAAGACTTTAAGTCAGTAGTTTCATAATGTTTTGCATATTAGTACATACAAAAATAATGATTCCTATTTTCTCAAAATCACATGTCAATAGGACATGTCAATATCACATGTCAATAGGAACACTTCAAAACCAAATGTGTGCCCTTATTTGGTTATGGCTTTTAAAAATAGAGATCAGAATCTGACAGCATTAGGTAACAGATTAACATGGCAACCCACAAGATAGCTAGTGCAAGTATTCCTATCAGCCTTTTAAAGATGAGTAAATGGAGTCTCAGAGAAATAGAATGACATGCCCAAAGTCACACAGCTACTAAGTGACAGGCCTGGCACTAGACCTCAGGCCTTCTAATTCCAAGTACAGAGCTTTTTCCATTATACTACTATATATACTATTATACTACCATATATACTATAATAGATATTATCACTACTTTATATTACTACATATTACTTTATACTATACTACCATATATACTATAATAGATATTATCAGTAGATGAGTGGTGTTTATGAATCAGTATACGGCACAGCATCTTGCACAGTAAGTGGTTTTTAATGAGTGATTCTCTCAAATCTCCTTATTTCAGATTACTGAACTGATTAACATTCAGTCAGTTCTCTACTCCCCAGGGCTGTCACATGAAGGATGGGTTAGGTTTGTTTTGTTTTGCCACACAGGGAAAACCAGGAGCAATGGGCAGAAGTTGCACAGAGGTCAATTTAGGCTTAATGTGATGTCAGAAGAAACTTCGTAATTTGAATTTGGTTCTTCCTGACTCCAGGCCTGGCATTCTATCCATTGTGCCACCTAGCACAGCTATATGACAATGACAGCCCAGTTGTGACTAGAACAAATGAATTTATAGTAGATGTAGTTGGCACAATTGTGTAATTTCTGCTAGTGCTCAGGAGCCTGTGATTAGAAATGGAG